TCCTTCATAAGCCATCTTAATAACTGTTATGCTGACCCGGGCCCTACCTGTACACAAGGCGGAATACCACCAAGTGCACAACCACAGTATGTGTTGTACACTGACCTCCTCCCCTGACTCATCCTAGAATGGCTTCTGTCCCTTCAGGGCTTGTTATCTGTACCCTGCCCAGCTGTGTCCTAAACCCACAAAATGTTAGAGAGATGGTAGAGAGAGTGGAAGACACACTGTGTTCTCAGACCAAATAAAAACACGTTTACATGGCATGTGGTTTAAGCTTTTCTGTATCAGGGATAAGTAAAGTTAGTGACTGGGATTGGAAACTTTTCTATTTTGTTATCCAACAAAAAAACCTACTGTCGCTGGGCGGTGGTGGCGCACGCCTTTAATCCCAGCACTTGGGAGGCAGAGGCAGGCGGATTTCTGTGAGTTCGAGGCCAGCCTGGTCTCCAAAGCGAATTCCAGGAAAGGTGCAAAACTACACAGAGAAACCCTGTCTCGAAAAAACCAAAAAAAACAACAACAAAAAAAAAAAACCTACTGTCTAACAGTGGTTCCCAACGTTCCTGATGCTGCGACCCTCTAATACAGTTCCTCATGTTGTGATGACCCCCAACCATAAAATTATTTTCACTGCTACTTTATACCTGTAATTTTGCTGCTGTTATGAATCATAATATAAATATCTCATATGCAGATTATCTAATAAGCCACCCCTGTTGAAAGGGTTGTTTTACCCCCCCCTCCCAAATGGGTTTTGACCCACACGTTGAGAACCCCTGGACTAAGCGAAGCAAAAAACATTCCACCCAACCAGATACTATATTTCTTTAGATACTAGATTCAAATTGAAAGTGTATGTATTGCCAAATGCTTAAGATTTACATAATAAATGTCACATCCTCTTTGGGCCAGCCCCTTTGCCCATTATAGCCAGTTCACTAAGGCCGGTGAAGAGAATCTCTAATCCCTTCCATCTAGAAACATGCTTTCACTTGGACAAAACCTTTCAAACACTTCAGATAGATTGTTATAAACCTGCAGGTTCTGCCAAGCCATCACATCAACTGTTTCACTCATTCATAAAATGGTCATTCATAAATTGTAGTTTTATAGAGGTAATACGAGAATTACCTAGGGTATGCTATAAAATATTTCAATCTACTCAGATACGTTTTTCCATAAAGGATGCAGTTTCATGTTTACCCTTGGTTAGAAAATATACCTTTAAAACCCACCCATCAAACTTCCTGGGAAATTTCCACCTTAGGGTACCACCATTCTCCATTACCGGCTAAAGATAAATTCATCCATTAGATTTACAATGTCTTCATCACCCAACATATGCACCCTCCACCAGTATCTTAGTTCTTTATGGGCCTTCAAGGCAAACAGACACTATTTACACTATTACCAAAATATTAAGACACCCTCCAAAAGCAAACAAACAAAAACTGCCTTAAAATACTTTGCCACAAAGCAAATGTTATTATTTAAACAGCAGACAACTCCCAAAGAAAGAATATGGGAAATGAACCAGGTGAGGGCAGTTTAGCACTTAAGAAACCTTTTCGTGGGCTGGAGAAATGGCTCAGCAATTAAGAACACTAGCTGCTCTTCCAGAGGTCCTGAGTTCAAGTCCCAGCAACCACATGGTGGCTCACAGCCAGCTACGGTAGGATCTGATGCCCTCTTCTGGCACAAAGGCATACATTTAGACAGAGCACTCATAAACATGGAATAAATAAATCTAAAAAACAAAAAACAGATACCTTTTCATATTAAATATCAAATAATGAAAGTATACCTTTGTGTTTGAAGATTCAAGTCACACAACTACATAAAAGCAAATCAGCCGTTTCCAGCTGTAAGCAGCGAGGATGCCCCAGTACGTGAGAGCATCAGAAGGGCTGATCGGCTTCCTTTTGAGGTTACATGATAAGGAGCAGTTAAGCCGCCTCTTTTCTCTAGAGCTCGCCGCCGCCGTTCTGCTGACCTCGTGGCAGGAGGAGCCAGCCCTCGGCCGCGGCCTCCTTTATAGCGCCGGCTTTCTTCTTGCCAGCTAAGTGGGCAGAGGGGGCGGGGAAGCCCAGCACGCCTAAAATACACCCTATGCTCATCCTCGGGTTCGATCGGGGGGTGCGTGGGCACCGAGAAGGGCCTGAGGAGGCGAAGGGGACAGCGAGGACTAAGTTTGTGGACTTTTTCCGCACTCTGGAAATTCCCAGGGCCAAAAAGGTACCGACCCGAGCCCCGGACATTCCCCGCGAGGGCCGGCTCCAAGACCCGGACTGGAGCCGCGCGGAGGAATGAGGGGCGGCGCCAAGCTGTTTTTTTCGCCGCCCCGGTCCCGGTGGCCCTCCCGGGAATCCAGGGGATTAGGCCTCCTCGTTAGGGTCGTCTCTCTACGAATTTCACTTTGTCACTGTGGCTCCCTAGGCGGGCAGGTGGAACTGTCTGGAGGATCACTTCCCCCAGTTCAGTGTGAGCACGGCCATCAGAACAGTGGCATCTCTGTTCCTAATCCGCATCACCAATGAAAGAGGGATGGGATGTCTTCCCAGGGTGCGTGCTGGCACAGGTGACGGGGGGAAGCGGGCTTAACTGCGGACCAGCCATTGCACAACACTCGAGGGGTTTCTCCTGACATCCAGTTTCACTGTTCGGTTTTGGAACACTTCGCTACGGTGGTTTCGGTACTGTTTTTCATCATCTCCAGGCATTCGCTCTTACAGTCTAGTTTGTGATTACATAGGAAACACCCAGGGTCCTAACTGGGGCCATAAGAATGTTCATCTGCATCGTAACTTCGAATCCTTAAAGCTCAAGAGGCCTGACGAGCTCTTGTTTGATTAAAAAAATCTAATAAAAAGAAATGAAATTTTGTACGTGTGTAGCATTTTTTTTTAAAAAAGATAAATATCCTAAAATGAGTTTCTGGCAGTTCTGTCTCAGAGAAGCCCACACCAAAAGGTGTGGGATTTGTTTGTTTGTTTCTGAGCGCTTCTTTTTCTTTTAATCCCCATGCTTAAAATCTATATTTAAAATGCCATTTCACACAAAAAAAATCATCTAAAAGATTTAAAAGTAAGTGCATTTTAAAAAGATGGGTTAAACTGAACTGATGAAGCACATTTTTGCTACCCTAGTTTCTGTGTCTTAAATTTCTGCTTCAACAGAACTGCTCCAGCATTCCCAGGTGCCCCTAGCACTCAGGTACTGCGGACCCACTTCGAAAGAGGAAAGAGCAATTCCAAAATCATACCACCCATGTAGCAGCTATTCTGAGTGCCCCGACCCTACACTGTAGAATAATCCTAAATACATCTTTGTAGGAGAATTAAGACGTCTTGTTACTTCCCTCCAGGATGTATTTCCCTGCTCCACTCAGTGATTGTCATTTTCTTCATCTGGGTCCAGAAACAGGAAACTCACTTCTCCATGTATCATGTGAATATGTAAAGGCTTCCCATATTTGTTCTTCCCAAGGACTCTGATTTATCAATCTGAAACTTACTATCTCTAGCTAGGAAAGTCTGTCAATGATATTAATACACTGCATGGTAAGATGGTTCACATACCTTGGAATACCTAATATCTGTTCTGTATTTGCTGAGTTATTTTTAATTGCACGGCATACATGTGGAGGGATATGTGCAAGTGAGTGCCAGTGCCCACAGATACTAGCTAGGGGCTAGAGCCACAGGCAGCTGTGAGCCTCCTGAGAGGAACGCTGGGAACCAAACCTCAGTCCCGCTGCAAGAGCCCTGCCAACTCTAAAGTGTGGAGACCTTTCTCCAGCTCCAAGAGAGGTTATTCTTAACAGGATAACTTCGAGAAGATATAATTTCCATAGAATGTTCTTATTATGGGCTTTTCCTTTCACAGCAAATCATTTCAGCTCAGGAGTATGGGTCACTCAGTTATATTCATACTGCCACTTCAAATATTAATTTTATTTGTATGTGTGTGAGTGTTTTTCCTTGTGTGTATGTATATACTCCATATGCATGTGGTGCCCGCAGAGGCCAGAAGGGGTCAGAAACCCCTCTCCCGCAGAACTGGAATTACAGATGGTTGTGAGCCACCATGTGGGTGCTGGGAATTAAACCCACAAGACCTCTGCAAGAGCAGCCAGTGCTCTTAAGTGCTGTCTCATCTCTCCAGCCCCACAAATTCATATTTTATTTCAACAAAATTGTATATAAACCAGTTTTAATATTTTATTACAAGTCCAAACATCCAACCATAACAGCCAACTGACATAATAAAACTGTTACTAGATAGCACAATTTTAGGCAGACCTTTATAATTATTAAGGCTATTTAACATATAAAAATATTTATACTGTAGGTTAATTTTTTTAAAGGCCCAAATTACATGTACTCTGTGATTATAACTCTAGCGATAACTCAGGAATTGGATCAATTATACTATAATCTGTGGATGATCGACTCTTTATAGAAAATGTGTATAACAAACATCCTCCATATGCTTTAAATCATCTCTAGGTTACTTATAATACCTAGTAATATGTAACTGTTATATAAATAGATGTTACACTTTATCGATTGTTATATATAATAATGGCAGGAAAAGTCTATATACATTTAGTATAGACGCAATATTTTCCCAAATATTTTTATCTGAAGTTGGCTGAAGCCAGTGATATGGAACCTAGAGATAAAGACGATCAATTGTATATGGTTAAAAAAAAAAAACCTACCAAAATTCTAATGTTCATTTGAATTCAATTGAATTATCTAATATTTGATTGAATTATGAATTGTATCCTTAATTAAACATTTGTAGTTTTTTAAAACTATGTTTCCTTTGTATTTATTAAGAGTAATATGTATTTAAACATTTTCATCTGACATGCTGAAATTCACAAGCATGTGGGACTAACTAGCCTATAAAAATTTTATAAGGTTGAGAAGCCCTTATCTGAAGTCCTTGAGACCAGAACTGTTAGATTTTAAATTATTTTAGATTTGGGAGTATTTGTGTGTGTGTGTGTGTGTGTGTGTGTGTGTGTGTGTGTGTGTGTATGTATATGATCTATACTCACACACATATATGTATATAACTCATTAATGTGTCACGAGCCTAAGTAAGAAATGTATGTCTCACATATACTTTATATATATAGCTTGAAGGAAATTTTATGTAATGTTTAGTATGTCTGGTTTCTAAAGATTATTTTTAAGATTTTTTTTTTAATTCTTATTGTATGAATGTATTTGGTTGGTTGGTTGGCTGGCTGGTTAGTTGGTTGGTTTGTTTTGAGACAATGTCTCACCACATAACTCTCGTTAGTGTGGAACTCACTCAAGACCAGACTGGCCTTGAGTCCACAGAGATCTGCCTGCCTCTGCTTCCCAAGAGCTGGGATTAAAAGTATATGCTACATCTGGTTTTTAGTATTTTTATCTGTATGTGTGTGAGTCTGTCTGTGTCTCTGTCTGTTTCCGTGTGTGTCAGTGTGAGTGAACGCTACATGAATGTAGGTGGCCCTTGTAGACCAAAAGAGGGCAGTGGATATACCTGTAGCATCAGTTACTGGTGGTTTGTGAGCCAGTTGGCATAGGTGCTGGGATTCAGGCTCAGTGCTCTGGAGGAGCAGCAAGTACTCTGAAATCTGAGCCATGTCTCCAGCCCCACATCTGTCTCTTGAGTGTGACCCATTGATTGAAAAAGCTTTAGATTTTGGAGGATTTTGGATTTTCAGATTAGAAATGCTCAACCTGTATCTAACTGTAATAGGAAGTATTTAGATAACATTTTAGCTTCTATAAAAATTTCCACACTGGAGTATATAAAGACAAAAGAGGAATGAAAGTTATAAAAGGGACTTCAAGAAAATGTGCCGTCAAACCGTTAAGACCTTGTGCAAACAAACGGAGAAGCAAAAACTGAACAAGGACACAAGAGACCAGCCATAGAAATCCCTCTAAACCAATGGTGGGCGGTCCCTGAAACTTCACCAGAAAGGGACTCTTTGGCCTCCTCCCAAACTCCTCCCTAAGGAACTGTTCAGAAGTTCTCAAAACAAAAACAAAACCTCTTTATATAAGTCAAACAAGCCGTAGCTACCCAGGGCCATGGACTCCGTGTACTTTAGTCCAATTCAAACTTGAGTTCTCCCTGTTAAAAAAAAATGGAGCTAATATCACCTAAACTATTGAGTCATGACCAGAATTAAGTACTTGATAAGCCTTGAAATAATAAATAAGCAATGTCACTTCTCTAGATCAATCTTCTCTTTGTCTCTGTTTCTCAATTGTGGAACCCTACAACTGCACCAGCATCTCTGGGCATTTATCACAAAGGTTAATTCCATAATGTGGGGGTGTGTATAGTCCCTAATTCATTTTTATCAAATCCTACAAGCTTAGGGACCATTGAAAACAAGCCATTTTAACCAGGCTGCTGGCACAGCCTATAGGTTCAGTCACTGGAGAGGCTAAGGCAGGAAGATGGCGAATTCAAAGCCTGTGTAGGCAACAAACCAAGGTCAACTAACCTGTGAACTTACTGAGACTTTCTCTAAAAATGAAAAGGTTTTAAAAAGGGGGTGGGGTGGGGGTGGGGGGGCGCTGGGGACTTAGCTCAAGGCTAAAAAGCTTGTCTAGCATGCATGTTCAAATGTCAGTTCTGCAAAATCTAAGCTACCAAAATACATTTAACTTCACTGGCCTGTTCAGACACTTTCCTCCACAAAATATCTTATAAACTTAATGGTCCTCCAGAGTAGGAAAAGAACTTCCACCCTCTACACTAAAGGCCCTGATTTTTCATCCTTTGAGGGGTGCATAGTCTTCTTGCTTTCAGCATCTGTCTTTATCTCCCAAGACACCCCAACGTTTATACATGTCTGTTCAGGGAAAGCAAAAGTCAATTATAACCTCTCAAAATGCAAAAACTACTTATTAAATGATCCTAATTTTAATTTAAAGCCATGTAATATTAATAAGACAAAGTCCAATAAAAAAATGGCCAACCCTGTTATTTTTGGAAGTCCAGAAATGAGTTTGGAATGTAACTCGATAGAGTGCCTGCCTAGTACGGCCAAGGCACTGGTTTGAGCCACAGTCCAAAAAGGCAAAAAGCTAGAAGGAATAGCAGATAGCTAAATGGTAGCTTTTTGCTTCCAAGGACGAGACAATGTGCATGTATACTTTATGCCCAAATCAAAAAAAATGCCTGTCATGGATTTTAATATCTAATTTTATTAACTTCTGATCTGGTTGAATGTCTAATTTCGGCATATGCTTCATGCCAGCTACAAGAAAAGAGAAATACTTGGAACTGCTGATTAGAGAAACTGTACAATTTTATGACGGTCAGCAGCATTCTTTACATAAAAGTCAGCTCTTAAGACCCACACATTCCAGAACACAAAAATAAACTTCTGTTTACATATTTATTTCCAAAAGTGGTTATTCTAGAACAAGTATTCATCACACAAAACTCGGCTGAATCAAGTAAGAAACAATTATCAAATGTGAACACCGATCCAAAGCACACGCTGTATGTTCTTCTGTTTTATCTCTTTCCTAGATAAAAGCAGGAAATTGTTACTATCCTTATTATAAAATTCTGACCACACATATTGGCCTTTACAAGTAATTGGGGTGGGGGGACGTCAATAGAAACTCCTGAGATACAGCAGTCTTCAGCGTGGCCATGGGAACTCTGACAATAAACACTCTCTAGTCCTGAGGAGGGATCCTTGTGCTAGTCCTGAAGACATGCTCCATTTCCTTTACCAGGTAAGTGGCAAACACAGCATTGCCAACCAAATCCATCCATTCTGTTTCCTCAAAACACTTCTCATAGGCATTAGCACAGAAATCTCCACCCCAGGAGAGGCCAGTTCAAATACACTCCTTAGCATCTTTGGTTACAAGGGCAATACAGTGTGTAGATACTGTTAATAAGAGCTCTATGATGGCTAAATCAAGATGGAAAAATCCTATAGGTAGACACAAACGCAGTGTATACTGCCTAAGTTCTTTACAAGTTAGTATGCAAAGTACAGCTCTTTTTTGAAATGTCCAACAGATTGACAGTATCCATCTGACCATGGAGTCAATCACAAATTTTCTATACTACAAGTCAATTGGGAAGGTCACTGAATGCGGCTCCTTTAGTGTTCTTGAAGATAGTTAGGTCTCCAAGGGGCATACGTAAGATAAGAACATGTCCAGCTGGTTCTTCACAATCACTTCATCTGGATGCAGCTTGTGGGGTAGATGATGAGCCAAGGTCATCTCCCAGGCATCAACAAGATAGACTCCAACCCCTGAGAACATCCTCCGAAGGACAGTGTCCAACTGAAAGTTGTACCAGTCACTGTTGAAAAGGCTCACCTCAGGCCCCAGCTCTTGGGCATTGCCTGTCCTGATGACAACCACAGTCTTAGGGCTTCGATCCAGGAGTTGGACCACAGCTCGGCGGATGTTCCGGAGCCTCCGGATATAGACCTCCAAGGGGAATGTGCTGAAGTGAGACCATACAGCTATGGCCACCACTGTATTCTTCCCCCCCACAATCCCATTCAGTTCATTTGCCACATAATGAAGCTCGTTACTAAAGACGCTCGTGAAGCGGATGGGTGGACCATGGCAGCGATATTTGAGCAAGATGTTGTGTTTCTGGTCCACTGCAAGGAAGGGGCCAACGTTCTTGGGGCTACCCAAATTAAACTCCACTAAATCTGAAACAAGGAAAAACCAAATTTATGAAAACATTCAATCAAAACACAGACATTCTGAATATTCAAGTGGCTTTGTAAAGCAGTTTTAAAAAAGGCAGTACAACAAAGAGGCTCAATGTATTTAAAAGGAATACCTACTCTCTGTGTCCCATTTTGAATCAATGGACCTTTAGTCTAGTGCCCTAACTATTCAAATCACTCCAAAACAACACATAATAAGCAATATTATCATAATATCATAAGCAACAATACCAGTGAAAGAATCCATTTATGTCTAAAATGATTACCTCCATTAAGCCAAGAAATCATGCTATTTTCACACATCACAGAATATTTAAGAATGAAGCTGACATTCATTCACTATCCTTCTAATAGACGAGTATTCTATCTTCTAAGACGGGGTGCTGTAACTTTTAATGAGCACATTTCAGTAACCACACACGTCTTTTGGAAAATTCTGCCATTTGCAAAAACATGAATAAGTCTGGAAGGATACCACACTAAGTGAAATAAGCCAGACACAGAAAGATAAATAGTCCATAACTTTCCTTATATGTAGTAACTTTAAGGGTTTAACTCTCTGGGGGCTGGAGAGACAGTTCGGCAGTTAAGAGCACCAATTGCTTTTCCAGAGGACCCTAGTTCAATTCCCAGCACCCACATGACAGCTCACAACTGTCTGTAACTCCAAGATCTGACATCCTCACAGACATACATGCAGGCAAAACACCAATGCACATAAAATAAATAAACTAAAAAAAAAATTTTTTTAAAGTTTAACTCTCAGAGGGCAGAAACTGACTGGTAGCTGGGGAGCTTGGGAGGCAAAGGGGGAAAGTTAGTCAAGGACAGCTGTTCTCGTGAGGAAGCGTCAGCCTGTGCTGTGAGACCTACTGCACGGCACGGTGGCTCTAGCTGACAATAACATACTTCAGACACAGCCAAAGAGATTTGAAATGTTCTCACTGCAAATAAATAAGCATATGGAGTGACAGTTAGCTTGATAAGATCATTCTGTCAATATATCACATTGTATCCTCTAAATACATGCAATTATTTGTCAATTAAAAATAAATTTTTAAACCAAGAATGGCTGCATATGCTTAAAATACCAGTACTTGGGAGGCTAAGACAGGGGGATTGCTGAGTTCAAGGCTATCCAGGGCTACAGAGAGAGATCTTGCCTCAAAAGAGGTAGACAAAATTTTTAGAAAGTAAAACAATCTAAATCATACTCCTGAATTAAAAAGAAAAAAAAAAGTTTCTTTTTTTCCAATATGCAAAGAAAAAAGTGGTTCTGTTTCTTTTGACTTTTAATTTTACCCCATGGTTAGAAAACCATACTAATGTCCCACAAGAAAACTGTCCAACATAAGAAATAACAAAGTTAAGCGGAGGCGCACATCCTTAATCCTAGCATTAGGAGGCAGAGGCAGAGGCAAGTGGATCTCTGAGTTTGAGGCCTGGTCTATGGAGTGAGTTCCTGGCTAGCCAGGTAGTGAACCTTGTCACAAGAAAAAAAAAAAAAAGGAGAGAAGAGAGAGGGGGAGGAAGGAAGTGAGTCAGCGGCACAACTTAGAAATCCTTCCGCTCCCTCCCCTCAAAGCTGTGTTTCAAGGCCCAGTTCCTACAAAATCTCGGCATGTGGGAAGCAGAGGCAGGAGGATCCCCACAAAGTTGATGCCAGGTTGATATATAAAGCAAGCTGCGGGCTAGCAGGAGTACACAGCGGAACCTGTCTCATTAAATACATACATACATGAAGGTTGATAATGCAATTCCATTCACATTTTCTTAGCAGCTCTCCAGTGCCCACTACCACAGGTACCATGAACCAGCCAAGGCAGACATCAGAGTCTTACATCACAGTTTACAGTCAATTCTGAAGGGCACAGCAGACTATTAGTCCTGTATTCCCCTTAAGGGTTAAAGCCGATTTCATGTTTTCCTTTCTGCCCTCCTTTGCTTCTCCTTCAGACTCTCCCCCTTAGTTCATTACTAGGTAGCCTCCAGAGTTAAAGTGAATAAAAGTTCACGCTATCATTTTCTTTTGATAAAGATCAGGCACCCACACAAGGCTGTATTATATCAGATGAAAATCTGTCTGTAAAGGGTCTGGTGGAAAAATGATCAAAACAGTCAATGTGATCACTGCTATTAAAGGAAATATCCAGCTACGTCATCAGAAATTATGAAGCAGCAACAGCAGGCGCTTTGAAGGCCTGCCTGATCAGCACCAAGGTGTCCCCAGCACCATGCCACTCAGGACTTCCTCCTCCAGAGTTTTAATCTATGTTCAATAACTCCAACTCAACCATGTCTGTGTCGTTGAAAAACTGGAAATGACTTTCTACCTTTTGGAGTAAAATCTACTTCCTTTTCTTTTAAAAAGTAAATTAGAGAGGATTAAAAACAAACAAAAAAGTCATAAGCAACTCACACACAAAACAAAACTCCATTTACAGGGCAGGACAGATAGCTCAGTGGTTAAGAGCATTCACTGCTCTTCCAAAAGTCCTGAGCTCAATTCCTAGCACCCACACAGCAGCTCACAGCTGTCTGATGTCCTCTTCTGGTGTGCAGATGTATGTACTGACAAAGTACCCATATATATAAATACACAAATAAAGAAATCTTTTAAAAAACTCCATTTACAACCATTAAAAAAAAAAAAAAAACAATCCCCACACAGGCTGGGGAGATGGCTCAATTGGTGCTCTCTGTACAAATATGAGGATCTGAGTTTAATCTCCAGAACTCAAGCAAAGGGGGAAGGTGGTCCACATTCCTGTAACCACGGTGCTGGAGAGGCAAGGACAGCCAGGCCTCTCAGGATCACTGGCCAGTGGAAAAGAATCTGCCTCACAAAACAAGCTGGACAGAGTCTAAGAACACCAAGGCTGACTTGGGCCCCCATGGACATTCATTCGCACAAACCCATCTGCACCCATACACGCACGTACACAGACACACACAAATAGTTCACAACATCACCTGTTCCTTAATAGGTGAGCACACAACCTTGGAGAAAGAAAAGAATGCCTCCTGTGCATAAGTGGTAGGTCTCCAACCAGTCCAGTCTTATTCTGGATCTGAGGACTAGTCTCAGAGTTAGGCAGACACTAAGAATGCTGGGACTTGCCCAGAATCTCTCAACAGAAGCCATCTCTATGTCAGAGTCCCATCGAAGAGAGACCCAGTGGATGCCCTTGCTACAAGGACACATCTGGCTAATTCCTTCTAGTAAAATCCTGTATGGACCTAGAGTTGAGCCAAATAGAACCAGAAAAGAAACAACTGGAAGTGGCCAACTGTTTTATAATCCAATTAGTAGAAGTGACCAACATCTGTGAGGTGACATGGTTCAGCTGTCTAATCGGACACAGAGTAATGAAGCTCTGAGAAATAAATGACTCATCCAAGGCCAGAGAGAGACAGCGGGATGAGCCTCCATAAAAACCCGCACTTTGACCAATCCAAGACTCTCCTGTGGACCAGATGCTGCCACACATCTTCCAGGGTTAAGATACTTCTTTCTGGAGAAATTGCCTCCTCACCTGATGCCTCTCTTCAGGCACCAAAGGGAGCCTGCTCATTTCAAATCTTATACACATACGAGAACCAGTTATAAAACCAAAAGCAAAAGTACCAACCTGGGACAAACATAGTGAGGTATTCAAACCACTGCCTGATTGTTGAGTCACCAAATAAATACACCATTTTTCTTTGCAAGCATTCTGTAATGTTAGCAGGGTCATTAAAATGGCGCATCTTAAACCTCCTGGGCCTCCACTGGTCTTTGTAGAAATATCCAGAAGGGAAAGTTCCTGAACCTTGAGATACTTCTAGGTCATCAGTTTCTGCAAAGAAAGGGGGAAGATCTATTATAATATTCTGAATTTCATCTTCAAAAACAGATACAAAAAAATGTTTCCAGAAAAAAAAAAAAGCTATACCCACATATATGCTGGCCTGCAAACTTAGAGGCAATACTTCCTGTTGTCATAGCTTGAAGAAATCCCAGGCTTTCCCCCGATACTAAAATGGGAAGATGAGAAGTGGGTGTGGGGTACTGGAGGGCACGGAGGAGAAAGTGCACTTTAGGCATTCCCTTGAGTATGTACGTGTTCATCAACATTCAAAATAAAGGAAGACAAAACCCAAGGAGAAGTATCTGCCCAGCGTTATTTCAGAATGAGAGAATCAGTTTTATCCCAATGCCTGAAAGCAAATGCTAACTTAATCTCACATTAACTTATATTATATATATATGTGTGTATTAATGTAGCAATATTAATACCATGTCTCCCAGTCTTCAAGGTTTTAATCCATGTGATATAATTCAAATATTAATTCAGAAAACCACCATTGTCAACTACAGAGAATCCATGTGATGGATTACAGGAATCATTAGCAACACTAAAAAGCATCAGCCCTGTGTACTCACCATTGTAACCTAGCTACACATCAACGCCAGCACTAGGACACCTTTCAAAGAGAGCCAGCATCTCTCTGCCCTAACACCTCCCTCGGGAAACGCCACTGTGGAAGCGACAAATGGCAAGGCTTCAAAACACATGGCAACAGCTAGTATCCCTTGCAAGTTAACTCTGTTCCGGGCTCTCTTTGGGGAAATGAAACACGTTATTTCATGCAAGCTCATTCATGTAAGCTCATACAATCTCTTTAAAGTTCTGATTAGGACTTCTGCTGTTCAGAGCAAGCAAGTGGAGTAAAGGCCTGGACCTGATGGAGACGCTGTCAGGGCCTGAAGCATGCGGTCGAGAGCCAAAGCCCAGCGTCCCAGTCACCACGTCAGGTCATTGGGGGGGGGGGGTTGAAGGTGTCAGCCACTTCTTTCATCTCTTCCCTGAGGACATAAACTTACTCCTTTCTTAATAATTGAAATCTATAGTCCCTAAATTACACCAGTCATTTATGCCACTTCCTTATACACCCAGGGTTCAGCAACAATCACAGTTCAATCATTTCTGTCACCAGCGAAACCACAATTGGAATGCAAACACTATGTGACCTAGAAATTTAAGTCAGCCTATTTGTGACTATTTTCAGGTGATTTAACTCCTTAACACTGTCCACGTTACTCAATCCAAATCATTTTGTATTTCCAGTTCTCTCTTTTAAAAAGGCGTATTTTCTAGCTTGCTAGTTTATGTAAAGAAAATGGGAAAATAGATTTTGATATTTACCTCCAAAAATAGGTGAAAAGTGTTCCCATAAATACAACTATGCCCACATATTTGCTGGTCTGCTAGCTTATAGATGACATTTCCTGTTGTCATATATCAAAGAAATTGCAGGATTTCCCTGATAGTGCAATTTTCCCCCTTAGGCATCTGTTGATTCTTTGTTGGTTCAAAGACTAAGTGGAAAAGTAGCTGGTATTTGGCAAAAGTTTTAGTTTAGCAAATATGAATACCAAAGAAAAGTGTCGGAAGGCAAAGAACAAACATTTATGTGACTTACTCAAAAGTCATTTCCTTAGCCAGATACAGCAGGGTACCCTTGCAGTTACAGCCACACTACTTAGGAGGCTGAAGATCACTTGAGCTCAGGAGTTCAAGACCAACTTAGGCACATAGCAAGATACCGTCACAAAACAAGACCAATCATCACAGTGAGCAAACAAGACCTCACCAGCTTCCCCCCAACTCCCTGGTTGTTTTATTATTATTACAGTGTGTGCGTGTGCGTGTGCGTGTGCGTGTGCGTGTGCGTGTGTGTGTGTGTGTGTGTGTGTGTGTGTGTGTGTGTATGCGCGTGCACGCACGCGCGCGCAGCCCCCACAATACACATGAAGTAGGAGGACAACACTTTCAGGAATCCGTTCTCTCCTTCTGCTATGTGGGTACCAAGGATCAAACTCAGGTTATCAGGCATGGCAGTCGGGGCTTTAACAGCTGCTGCTGCATAGCCAGAGAGCTACAGAGAACACACCTGGGGCAAAAGGAAACATTTACTGGAATGAGAATTAAAAGTGATTTTGAAGTTACAGTTTGCCCCTAGTAACTTGGCAGATTCAGTTATTTTGTGTCAAATACATGCTAAAAAGAAAAGTATATATCACACAGGAAGCAATTACCATTTCCATGAGAATGTTAATTATATTTACTGCCAGAGTTTAGTCAAGCAAAGCGAATCAATTACTGAACCTGACATTCACTCTTTCAATGCAGGGTGCTGTTTACGAGTGGAGGGTGCGTGCCTATACTGCCCCCTCACGGTCAATTTGTACAACGTTTCCTGACTGGTTTCAAATAATTTGAAGTTGCTTAAAAAGTATTTCTTGGAACTTTATGGGCTTTCAGATCACTAAGATATGAAAATTCTCTTAAACTGATGAAACAATTCCTAACCTACTATTTCTTTGGAATAAAAATTAAGACAAAAAAATAAAAATTCTATATTTCTAAATTGTTATCCTGAATATTAATAAAGGGAAAATCTTACCAAGACAGATCTTTATGTAAAATATAAGTATGTATTTGGCTTACTCAAATATAACTGTTTTGAGAATTGTTGTGTAAAAGCAGAAGGCATGTTTTTGATTACTTGCAAGTACTGTCCTGCCTTCTCTAAATATCTTGGCTTCTCTTCAAGGGCCAAATCTGATGTTTTTTCTCCAAAGGGTGCTATACCATATCTTGCAAGAATTTTCTCCATAGGAGAGACCAATCAATATCTATGCCCCACCCACAACAGCCCCCAAAACAAACCACAATTCAGCTCTACCTAAGTTCACCCTGGGAAACCAATGAGTTTACTAGGCTTCCTTACAGAACATGTGCAGTAGAACATTATTTTAAGGTGTGTTACTTTTGCTTATATTGCATTTGTTTAACTCTGTGAAGCTGTGTTACTGTGCCTGTCTAAAACACCTGATGGTCTAATAAAGAACTGGTCAATAGCAAGGCAGGAGAAAGGATAGGCGGGGCTGACAGGCAGAGAGAATATATAGAGGGAGAAATCTGGGAGGAGAGAGCGAGGAGCCAGAAAAGAAGGACTCCAGGGGCCAGCCACCCAGCTACACAGCGAGCCATGGAGTAAGATTTACAGAAGTTAGAGAATGGGAAAAGCCCAGAGGGAAAAAACAGATGGAATAAGTTTAGGAAAGATGGCAAGAAACTAAACCAAGCTAAGGCCGGGCATTCATAATTAAGAATAAGCCTATGTGTAAATTTACTTGGGAGCTGAGTGGAGGGTCCCTCAGAAAAGACCAAGGACCAACCAACAATAAGCACGGATGAGGGGTTATTGATTGGAGTGCTGGTGACCCTAAAGCAGCCACACTGGAATGTCTTCACTCAGCAACAGGAGCTGACTTCTCAGAAGCGTCTTCCCCAGCCTCCCTGCTCCAGCCCCACCCACAACCCCAAAGACAGCGCAGTTAAGGCAAACGGCTGAGTGAACTGGCTGGACACTCAGATGAGAGGCCAGTGACTCCCAACTCCCCGCTTCTGTGAGGGAATGCCAACAGTCAACAAGGCCAGCTGTGGTGACCTTTTGCAAGCAGACCCTGCTGGTCTCATGAGGGTAATAGTTATGCTGCTGGAGACAGGGTAGCGCTGTACAACTGCACATCATCCACAAGCCTAATGGGGGCTATCTGGACCAAAACCAGAACAAGATGAGAGAAAGGCGGCTGAGAAACGCTCCTCAACTACCTACAAAGAGCAGGATGAAAAGAATAGCATGAGAACTAAGGGCAGAAGTTTGGGAACCATCTCAGCAAGGTAAGTAAGGTCCCTAATAAGCTATGAGTTCAAATCTCCAACAAGGGTCCTGAGTCATTTAGCTGTGAATGTGTAGGGACCAGAGAACAGATTCTAATGAAATTCATCATTAATTCTGACATTGCCACCAGACACTTGCCCTTGACAACTAAACTAAAACTAAACAACTAAAAACTGTTTCTTGCTTTTGACTGAAATTATAGCATCATGGGGTGGTAGTATGGCGGTTTTAAGCAATACACTGTACTCTAAATATAGATCTTTGGGGAAAATGAATTAGCTTTAAAACTTGTGGGGAGCAAAAAAGTTTCAAAATATAGAAGTCTTAGAAAAAAATAAGAAAAGGGTAAAGATTGTGAATTCATCCAAATCATTCTAAAAATCTTCCTTGACAATGTTATTCAGAGCCTGGTTAAAAAAAAAATGATTATGCATCATCATTTTCCTGTTTAAATTTTCGTGTGTGTGTGTGTGTGTGTGTGTGTGTGTGTGTGTGTGTGTTTAAGAAAAGATTCTGAACTCTTAAGGCTGGGGTGGGGAAGATACAAAATGAGCCTAAAACATCTTATGGTGTCAGAAAGTAAGGAAGCGCTCCATAAAGAGCGGAGCTTAGATCCTAAGCTCCGAGGGCGAAAAGCAGCGACCCCTGCTGGCAATCCCAGCAGCGAGGGGGCCCAAGGCGGGCAGGTTTCGTATCTGAGGCCAGCGTGGGTTTACAGAATCCAAACTGAAAATGTTGTCAAATTTGGAACAGTTCCGGCACACACACACACACACACACACACACACACACACACACACACACACACACACAAAAGCAGTGACTGAGTTAAGCTGAGTTTTATCTCAAAAACAAAATAGCTGAGCGTGGTGGTGCACACCTTTGGTCCCAGCGCTCTCTGTGAGTTCAGAGGCCAGCCTGTTCTACATAGTGAGCTCCAGGATAGCCATGGCTACGTGATGAAACCCTGTCTCAAAAATAAATACATAAGTAAATAAAGCGAATTAAATTAAAAGAAACAAAATAATGACAAGTCTACAGTGATATAAACATGAAAAAGGACAACCTTTCTTCACACTAGCATTCCAATTAATAAATCTTGAAAGGAGGGGCTGGAGAGATGGCTCAGAGGTTAAGGGCATTGACTGCTCTTCCAGAGGTCCTGAGTTCTATTCCCAGCAACCACATGGTGGCTCACAACCATCTGTAATATATCTGATGCCCTCTTCTGGCCTGCAGGCAAAAATGCAGGAAGAACACTACACATAATAAATAAATATATCTTGAAAGGACTGTCACAGAAATCATGGCCACAGTTGAATCCAACAGAAGCTGAAGTTAGCGGGTGAAGGCTTAAGTAGAAACATAACGTTTGCATAGAAGAAAAAACAGAGAGCCTGATTAGGGTCTTAAAGTGCCACCTCTGGTCAGTGTGGACTTCTGGGAAGTTCTCTCTATCTGGGCTCCTTGGATATACAAAGCAAATTTGCCCCTAATTACATACCTGCTACCATATGACTTCCTCACTCAAAGCCAGAGTATTCTGTGTCTAATAACTTGAGTTACTTTCTTCCATTTAAAAACAACAACAACAACAACTTCCCAGGTGAATTGAATCTATCTTCTCTCTACCCAAAATAGTACATCACAAGGCCACACCAATTCCTGGCTGATCTGGGACCTGCTGGCAGAGGTAAACTGTAAAACCTCTCCTTCAGAATAAGGGAATGAAGCACGTGGGTGGGTAGAAAGCAATGTGACCATGAGCTACCACTTGCTGGCTCCTGGAGTCTTCCTGCATGTTCTGTCCTTCTATCCACCCTTGATTTGGAATTTTCCACTATTAAAAATTTGAAGAATGAAGAACTCCTCCTATTAACCACTCTACAGGACACCTGGTAGGGTCACATGGCGAGCATGGCAGAGTGGAAGGGAAGAAGGGTGGATTCATTAGCGGGGTACCGAGTTTGAGTGCAGTATTACTGAGGAACACTACGTCTACTAACACCTTGGCCCCGGGTCGAAAGAAATTCTGACAATTGAAGTATTTACACTAAGGATGCTTGTTCTGCACACACGTCCCCTCCAATGGGCAAGGCATCTGGTTCAAGTATAAATCAGATACGGATCTTCAGTGGACAGCTGAGAGTTCCGCCTAACCATGGAAGCCAGAGACTGTGTATCTGCTCTACAAATCTTTTTTATATCAATATAATTCTTCACGAATTCTGAACCAGATACCCATGCTTTAAAACATGTAACTATCACATTTTAAAACTCAGATTAATTGGGGAAAACAAAACCAACCAACAAAACCTTAAGATTTCTGGTTTGATACAGTAAAGAAACCCTAGACCTCTGCGTGCAGCGGTTCTGGTTTTGCAGGAAACAAAGGCGCACACTGCCCCCTGGAGGTGGTCCTGGCTCCTTGATGCCTTCCGCACAGCTTACATAAGGCACGTATATCTAATGGCCATCCTTCTGGGTACATGTGTATTATATATCCACCTAGTACCTGTGGCAAAGCGGATAGCAATATATGCTGTGTGGGAGACAAATGTTCTCAAGAACTACAAAGCTCTTTCCCCTACGTTTGCAACTCTCCTTGCTCTCTGAATTTACTACAACAGGGGCATCGCACTTACTGCTCTGAGTTTCATTCCTTTATGGTTTGGGTGCTTTGAGACAGAATCTCCCTCTGCAGCCAAGGCTAGCCTGCAACTCACCATGCAGTCTAAGTTAGCCTCGAACTCAAAGCAGTCCCCCTGCCTCAGCCTCCCAAATATGACAGATGTACGTTGATGCTCCCAGCTTACTCATCGTTATTAATAATTACACCAGTAGACCAGAATGGCATCAACTCACCGATTTGGATGTGCTTGGGTGTGTCAGTGTCAACCAGAGACTGAGCCCAGGGCCCTGGGCATGCTATCAATGGACACTCTTCCATCTCTACTCAAGTGGTCAACACTCTCCACAACAATTGACATGCATGTCTTGATTATCTATAGTACAACACTATCCAACAGAACTTTTCACATACTGCCAAACATAATGAAGTTACCGAGTATGTGATTAAAAAAAAAAAAACTTGTTTTTTTAATTTTATTTCATTTTGAGTCATTTCTGTTTTAATAGCCACAAAAGGCTAGAAGCTTCCATATTGGACAATATAGCTCTAGAGGCTCTTGAAGAGATAAATATAAAGTGTATAATGGAAGAAAAAGAAGACAACTTTTACATTAGCACACCTAGAAAAAAACAAATTTAAGTACACAAGATCTAGCTGATTTTTAAACATAAGCTCTTAACAGTCTCAGTTTGTGTTCAGAAGTAGCCATGACATATGAATGAGTGAAAAACGTTTTGTACATCAAAGTCAATCCCCTTAACAACAAAACAACACATCTGGGCTGGAGAGATGACGTAGCAGAGGACCCAGGCTGGGTTCCCAGCACCTACATGCCCACTCAGCCTTCTGAGACACCAGCTCCAGGAGAGCCGACACCCTTACTGGGCTCCTGACGGGACTGCATGCCTATAGTGTACTTACATACATGCAGGGAAAACACTCATAAAATAAAAAATAAACTTTTCATTTTGTTGTTTTTCAAGACAGGGTTTCTCTGTGTAGCCATCCTGGCTGGCCTGGAAATTACTTTGTAGACCAGTCTGGACTTGAACTCACTGAGATCCACCTGCCTCTGCCTCCCAAGTGCTGGGATTAAAGGCATTCGCCACCCCCGCCTGGCTATGTGCCACCACTGCCAGGCTAACATTTCTTAAACAAAAAGAAAAGCATCATGGAGGTCGTTTATTTTTACCTTTTTTCCTCCTGGAAATCACAGTCACCCAGTCAGGTCCACTGGAGTTGATCGGCATTTTGATATTGACACCACTGTAGAAGAAATTTAAAAAAAATAAAAATTAAAAAAAAGCACAAGCTTAGATTGAGATTCAGGGACATTTGTTTGCAGTTGTGTATCTTTATCTGTAAGTAAAAAAAAAAATACATTTGGTTTCACCACACCTTATGGTGAAGCAGAAAAATTAACCAACACGAGTAGCAGTTAATAAACCAGGGCTCTTGAGAGAAGGTAATATACACAGAAGAGAAACTTATTCGATCCTCAGTGTGCTATACACACACACACACACACACACACACACACACACACACACACACACACACACACACAAATCAACTATATATACTGCTTAGCCAGTCTTAGGAATGCAAACTCCAAAGTGTCTGCAACTCCAGGTTGAATACTCCTTTTGGAATCAGAGAATTCTACTTTGTTACTGCACGGTTTTGAGGCCACAAGTCTATGCTGAGCTAAGTCACATGCTAGGTTCCTAAGGCATGCCCAAGTCTGAGAGGAGTCCCTGTGGAGGTAACCTGCCTCCAAACAGCACTCAAACAGCAGTTCACCAGTTTAGAACCTTGGTGTCTGCTCCCCTTACTCAACACAGATTCCTCAAGGATGTGGGCGGGGCTTTGCTCCCCTTTGTATCTTTAGCACTTAGCACAGGCATGGACTAGATGTACGCTCAGTAAATTCTTTAGAAAAACTGAGGCGAATGAAAGCCAGCAGCAAGGGACGGGAATCCAGGGCAGCTATTCCAGAATAGAACCACTGTCAGGACTCACACCCCTATCAAAAACAAGCTTTAAAAATATAGACTGCTTGGCCTCACATCGGGGTATTTCCACTGCTCATCAATTTCAGAACAACGTGTTCGTCCTACAGATGATTAGGAAGCTTCGTTTATATTCTGGGCACCACTCTAGCTCTGGCTTATGTGGCAAAACTCCCAGAATCTCCTCCCTAATTAGACCTGATATTCTACAGAAAGAGACAGAAAAGCAAGTAATGAAGGATCTACGCAGGGCTGGCTACACTGGAGAATAACAGAATTCCATATCTTACACAGCAACATTTGAGGACTTTCAAGAGGGCACATATAAACCACTCCTATGAGCTTAGAGTTTATTATCCAAAAATACATAATAACTTTCACATAATGCTCCGTAATTTTCCTGCAAAAAATATTTAACCTCAATTTAGTCATCTGAGAACAACAAAACAAATCTAAAGTTAAAAAAATTAGAAAAATACCAATATTGAAGTTGGTCCATATCATAAAAAGCAAAAGAGATGAAAGAACTTTCCTAGATTTAAACGACAACAAAGAATAGAATGTGATCATGGATCAAATCAACAAAGGATGTTACTGGGGAAACCCAGACATGAACTAGATGCACTGGTCGACAGTGCTGTGTCAATGACAAATGTCCCAACTGTGATAACTGTGCTATGGTTACATGCTGGACAAAGTCCATGCTCTTAGGAGATGTATGCTACTGGGGCCAGTGCTGCGATGGCTGTAGCGTCCTCTTAAATGGTCCAAGGGAGAAATCCACACAAACACACATATAAAGCACACATTGAGGAAAAGAAAAACAACTATGAAAGACACTAACAAGCCAGAATCTAAAAGAAGGTAGGCAGGTGGTGTTAACATCAAAGTATTCCCAAAAACTTACAGCAGCTGGGGGTATTGTTTGCTTACTTTCGTTGGTTTGGTTGGTTGGGTTTATGTGCGTATGTGTGAGTACAGGTACACATGTGTACAGGTACTTGTTCATGTGTGTACATGTATGGTAGGAAGGCCGGAGAACAACCTCAGACGGGGTCTCTCGCTGTCCTCGGCTCATCAAGTAGGCTAGGCTGGCTGGCTTGTGAGCCCCAGGAGTCTGCTTGTCGTTGTCACCTCCGTGCTGGGATCACACATGCACACCACCACACCCAGACCTTCAGTGTGTTCTAGAGACCTAGCCCGAGTCCTCCTGTCTGTACAGCAATCACTTTACAGACTGAGCTATCAGCCCTGCCCTTTTTCTGTTTGAGCCCAGGCTACCCTTGAACTCCCAATTGTCTTGCCCTGGCCTCCTGAGTTTGGGTTACAGGTATGAACCATCATGCCCAGAAAAAAAAAAAAAAAGTATAAATGTTAAAATAAAAGGAGAACCTCCCCGTGATATTGTCATTTTGAAATGTCTGCCCTTATAAGAGAATCTTTGAGGGACAGTCCTTCTCAAGACCAACATTTTTTCTCTCTCCTAAGGGTAAAGAACAAAGATCCTTAATCATCCACCTATAATTTGAAAAACCAAACGCCAGCCAGGTGCAGTAACTCTGTCTATAATTCCAACACTTGGGAAAAGAAGGAGGATCACCACAAATTTGAAGCCAGCCTACAGTGAATTCCAGGCCAGCCTGGGCTACTGTGAGATCCTATTTCAAACAAAGCGATGGAAGCGACCTCGAACACGTTCCCTAGCAAACATCCCAGCTAGAGAGAGCTTTATGATGGATGATTCTACTACAACCTACAATATGCCATTAGCCAGCCGCTCCAAGGATTTGCAAGTCAGGGCAGGTGCAAGACATCATTTTCTCTTTCTGGACTAACAGGGGATTTTGTGTGCTTGTCTCCAATGGTGGCATGTAGTGTTAGGAACGTATTTAACTGTTTCGTTATTCAGCTCTCTACCCCTTTATCCCACTATTTTTCACATGGAACTTGGTTAAATTATAACCATTCTTCTTCATTGAGGAGCCACCAGACAGACTGCCAACCCAACTCCAGAAAGAAGCAACTGAATAATCTTCACGTACAGTCAAAAAATGCATAGAAATGAAATAATCTGCTCATACTAATTGAAAAATAGTAAGTCTTGGGTCAGAGCTCAAGACTAAAATATATAAATACAGTACACATATATGAAATTTTTAAAAATAAATTTAATTTTAAAATTAAAAGAAATAAAGCTCCTTGAAAACTCCTAAAACTTGGCATGGTAGCACACACCTGTAATTTTCATCATTTACAAGACTGTGTCAGGCCGGGCGGTGGTGGCGCACGCCTTTAATCCCAGCACTCGGGAGGCAGAGCCAGGCGGATCTCTGTGAGTTCGAGGCCAGCCTGGACTACCAAGTGAGTTCCAGGAAAGGCGCAAAGCTACACAGAGAAACCCTGTCTCGAAAGACAAAAAAAAAAAAAAAAAAAAAAAAAAAAAAAAGAAAAAAGAAAACAAGACTGTGTCAGGAAAGTGGGCTTTCTTGCCAGTTATATAGTGAGACTCGGTCTTAAAAATGTGTAAGTACCCAGGTGCTGGTGGTGCATACCTTTAATCCCAGCATTTGGGAGACAGAGGCAGGCGGATCTCTGTGAGTTCGAGGCCAGCCTGCTCTACAGAGCAAATTCGAGGACAACCAGGGCTACATAGAGAAACCCTGTCTCGAAAAACCAAATAAATATAAATAAGCTTTTAGATTTATGTGTAGGATTTTTTTGTCTTTGTTATTTTGTTTTGTTTTGTTTTGTTTTGTTTATTCAACCACACAAAATACTGGTCATCTAGAGCACTATCCAGGAACTGTATGGACTCAGGCTCCCTCTGCTGGCCCTGTAAATAAATGCATGACATCGCCATAGGACCACAAACTGACTTGTGGAAAGTGGTTTCATTTCAGAAGCTTCTATAACTACAAGCTTCACAAAAACATTTCTTCTACCAATATGAGTGGCCATAAACTATTAAATATTAAAACTTTAGAATTCTAACTTTACTCAAAGAAAATAGCTCTCTATCAGCCTTACAAGTACACACTTCATATGGAAGAAAAATTTGGATAGGAGAGGAGTCAGAAGGAGGTGGGGAAGGAGAAAGAATATTGTCAAAATACGTTGTAGGAAAGAATTTTTCAGTTCAAAAAGAAACTATTTATAAGGGCTGAAGAGATGGCTCCATGGTTAAGGGCACTTGTTGCTCTTATAGAGGACCTAGGTTTGACCCCCAGCACCCACATCGTGGTTCACAGTTATCTGTGACCCTTGTTCCAGGGGATCCAAGGCCTTCTTCTGACCTCCGTGGACACCAAGCATGCACATGAGGTACATACATACATGCAGACAAAACACCCATACACAAAAACATAAACCTTTTGCATTTTTTTAAAAATATGTATCTGTACGTTCTTCCAAATGATTGTGCTTTTTGGCCAGGTAGTTTTGTAACTTCATTTCTTCTTTTTTTGTGTCACTTTGTAATTATAAACACTTACAAAGCACAACATGACTTTAATGCATGGTTATATATAATGATTAGAAAAGGGAAAATGGTATATCATCACAAATATTTACCACTTGTTTATGCTGGAAACATTCCAACTCCACTCTAGTCATTTTTTTTAAATATTCAGTTAGCTATTGTCAGCCATAGTTATCCTGCTACAACAGAACAGTGGAAGTAATTTCTTCCATCCAACATAACTTTTCCCCAGAACTGTTATTTCACTTCAGAATTACATGCAGTGTTGAAGAAAACACAAATTTTAATTCAGACTGAGTCTATATTTTTCATTCTGCCCATTACCATATACTAACTGTGCTGAAAAAACATTCTGTTTTATGTTCAAACTAGATATTTCAGCACAATACCATAATACTTTCAACAGCTGTTAAAATACAGGGTTTGCTCTGGAACACCTTGGTTCTATGCTCACTAAATTAACTCAGTAATACTGCCATATCCATGGTCTTTTACTATAGATAAACATTTATAATATTTAAAAGCTGATCTTGCTTCTTCAAAATTTTAACTTCACACATCTGTAGTAGAATAGTTTAAGGTGTGTTACTTTTGTTTATGTTGCATTTGTTTAACTCTGTGAAGCTGTGTTACTTTACCTATGTAAAACATCTGATGGGCTAATAAAGATCTGAATGGCCAATAGCAAGGCAGGAGAAAGGATAGGCCAGGCTGGCAGGCAGAGAGTATATATAGAAGGAGAAAACTGGAAGGAGAGATCTAATATTTAGGAGCCAGAGAAGGAGGAGGACTCCAGGGGCCAGGCACACAGCCACACAGCGAGCTATGGATTAAGAACAAGATTTACAGAAGTTAGAGAAAAGGAAAAGCCCGGAAGTAAAAGGTATTCGGGATAAGTTAAATTAAGGAAAGCTGGCTAGAAACTAAGCCACGCTAAGGCGGGGCATTCATAATTAAGAATAAGCCTGTGTGTGTGAATTTTTTTGGGAGCCGGGTCATGGGCCCCCAAAAGAGAGCCAAACACCAACCTACAATACACACCCCTCAAGCACCAGTGACTAGCCCTCAATACCTCTATTCTGGGATGGGGGGCAGGGAGTTGAGTGCACAGTACCATGGGAGGGGGGTGTTCGTAGAACTACTTTTTGAGAGTTGGTTCTTGCCTTCCACCTTGTAAAGGTAGGGCTTCTCTTGTGTCCGCCATGCTGCATACTCCAGGCCAGCTGGTTTGCAAGCTTCTGGACGATCCTCATAGTTCTGCCCCATCTTGCCACAGGAGTGCTGGGATTACAGATGGGTGCCACAGCAGGCTTTTTATGTGGGTGGATTCAGAGGGCGGAACTCAGGTGTCAGACCTGCACAGCAAGTATGTACTGGGCCGTCTCCCGATATTCTTGGATTTTTTAAAAAACCTGTTCTGTGAATAAGTAGTCTTCCCTATGTAGCATTAAACATGGTGTGTACCTCCAACATAAAACCCAGCAGGGTAAGGATAAAAGTTGAAGGGTAAAAGGTCTTTAATTTGATGTTGAACAAGCACTAAATTTCACTTTTAAAACACTGACCTAAAGTGCAAATCTCTGTTTTCTTATGCAACGCCTCTTCTGAACAGGGTCAGGTTCAGACAGACACGAAAGGCATACTTACCAGAGTCCCCTAAATGTGACAAAGACAATGGGCAGAACCCTTTACCCCCCAGACTCGGGACCACATACCTCTGAAAGAAAGCACTGTCGGCAGCAGTGAGAAGGCCCTTCGTGTACCCACCCTTGAAGTGGTTGATTCTGCTGCTGCAGGGGAGCTTCTTTGGTTTGAAGCAGAACCAGGGCTCCCCGGTGTAGAGGTCCGTGAAGTTGCACAGGGGAAGACTTCCCGGCAGACACACGTTGCACTTCATTGTTTCCGAAATCCTTCCCGAGCGGAAGAGACTCTTGAAATAGACCCTGTCTGGTTTCGCTTCCTGCAGGTACTGAAGAACTCTAATCCCTTCACTGGGGTGAACCAGAGAAATGGACACTCTAACTCTGCCAGGCCAGAGCAAGGTGAAAAACACTTTGTAAAATCCATTCTGGTAGTCTACCACTCTGCCCACGGCCCCCGCCTGCAGCTTAGGCGAGTGTATTCTGGCCTGCAGGTAGTCTCCGCCATACTTCTTGGGCTTCCCTTGAAAATCATGCACATGGACCAGCACCTCCAGCTGGCTCCCCACCTTGAAGAAGGCTGCAGAATTCAGGATGACAAAGTAGCTGGAAGAAGGGTCAGTGCTCTTCACAAAAGGGACCAGGTCCACATCAGGCACCTGCCACTTGGAGGCGGCAAGCAAGGCATCCTCTTCTAAGCGTTCCTGACTGGACAGGGTCTGGTGCTCATACCCACAGTACGGATTCCGGCTAATGCCTGTAGCCTGCGAGGAAATAAACTGTCCACTGCTGTCGATGAACGTCCCTGAGAGAGTCTCATGGTCCAAGTACTAAAGAGAAAGACAACAGAAACCACATTTCTCTGAATATTAGGTAAACAAATCTCCACTTTGGTTTAAATTTGTATAAAATCAACTGAGATGAAACTGTTTCAAAAACCACAGCCGGCAGGGTTCACAGGTATTGTAGCAGAATAAGATTAATGAAAAATTCATAGAGGGGTCTCTATAGCTTCACAGGTCTTACTTTTAGGAGCTGTATGTGGGTTCTTACAGTGAATTATCAAAAGGAAAATCTCCTTGAGCTTCTAACCATGGAATGGAGAAATAAGCCATCTTTTAAAAATAATATTGATTAGTATTAACCAAGTATGGTGGCTTGAATGAATGGCCTCCATAGGCTCATAGGGAGTAGCACTCTTAGGAGGTGTGACCTAGTTAGAGTAGGAATACCTTGTTGAGGAAGTGTGTCACTGGGAGTGGGCTTAGAGGTCTCAGATGCTCAAGCCAGGCCCAGTGTCTCTTCCTGCTGCCTGCCGATCTGGATGTAGAACTCTCAGCTCCTTCTCCAGCACCATGTCTGCCTGCATGCCACCATGCTTCCTGCCAGGATGATAATGGACTAAAACTCTGAGCCCGTAAGCAGGCCCCAATTAAATGCTTTCCTTTTTAAGAGTTACCGTGGTCATGGTGTCTCTTCGCAGCAATAGAAACCCTAACTAAGACACCAGGCGAGAAACTACTTTTCCAAACCCTAAACCCACCCGGGAAAAGTGAAACCTCCAACTCCAGCCTGTACGAGGGGTAGGAACCAACACACTACGGTAAGGAAGTCCACACGAGGGGGGTGCGTGCTCACCAAAGGACTCCAGCTAAACACAGACTAGCAGAATGCTTCTCCTCCCCCATACACGCTACCATTTTACTACAAGCCCATGGAGCAGAGTTTCCTTCACCAAGCTTATCCTGTCTAGAATTCAACAACAAATTGCAAGACAAATTAAAGTTTTTAAAATTGAAACAAAGCAAAAACCGAATCTGAAGACAGCCAACAGGAGAAGCAACATCAGGTACAGTCGGAATGCTGGACTTATCAGACAGGCCATTTAAAAGAACAGTGAATGTAGCTCAGTGATACTATGTTTGCCTCACATGGACAAGGCCCTCAGTTCAATGCTTAGCACCACAAAAGCCTAATAGATAGATAGATAGATAGATAGATAGATAGATAGATAGATAGATAGATAAATAGATAGATAGATAGATATAGATATAGATATAGATATACACACACACACACACATATATATATATATATATATATATATATATATGAAATAAATTTTAAAATGAAGCAACTAAGTCTCAGGCTAAGGCCTCTGATGGCCACTCTGGGACCCGTGGACGCACATATGGTGGCTCCTCAGGCTGTGGGAGGCTCCAGGGACCTGCAGCAATGGGTAAAGTGAGGCAGCACCTCAGGCTCTGGCCACTAATGTCTGGAGCAGCTGTAAAATGAGATTACAAAAATGATTTGTGCTCCCTGCTGCTCCTCCAGAAGCCGGAACTCTGCTTCTGCACCCAGGCAAGGCCCAGGTTAAGAACTGGAACTCTTGGAAAACAATTGACTGGTGTGAATGCAGAAAAGGGGTGTGAGAGCTACATACTATGACAATCCACCATGTTAGCCTGTGGCCACTAAACTATCAAAAGATATCATCTGGGCCACTGAGATGGCCAGGCAAGTAAAGGGGCTTGCCACCAAGCCTGATGAACTGAGTTCGATCCTCAGAACTCGCATGGTGGAAGACGAGAACCAGTTACTTCAAGTTGTACACAGTGGCCGGTGCACTCATACAAGATAAAAAAAAAAATACTTTTTTTAATTGTCAAGGAAGAGAGCCTGACTAAAAGATGGTTTATGAAATCCTTGATGAAAAAGAAAAGCAGTGGATGGCAAGCATACCATAATATCCAGGAAGCTAACTATGATACTGAGAGTACAGAGAGCCCTTCTTCCTCTAACACTGGAAATACCAGGTTCAAAGGCTCGTCCTGCAGATCGTGCTGAGTCACACTGGAAAAGCACAAGATACTACCACTGGCCTGAGAGCCAAACTCTATCCCAGCATCAGAAGAAGAACGGTATCCCTTCCCAAGTCTAGTTGCATGCTGCACAACATTTCACAAGAAGGCTCTCCATGCTGAAAACAGATGTGATATGGCCATCCAGGAGCACCTACCTGAAGCCTGTTCCTATGGGAGCATCTGCTCTCCTTAGACATCCTCAACAATATTTAAAGAAAATTCAGTGAGTTGATTTTCACAGGCTCCACCCATCTTTATGGCAGAATACATCAATGCCATTATCTTTGCATGTGCAATCATTTAATGTTACTATAGGGCATGGCATTAAGAAAGAAAACAAATGGAACAATAAGGAAAAGGCAAATAAGATGAAGGTAACAATAAAAATATTTTTAATAAAGATGTATTTGTGTATAAAGACTGAGATGGCTGGATGCTTCCAAAGAGCTGGGACTTTTGTGTAAGTTATGAAGGTCAGAGTAAGTTACATGAGGCAAAAGATGAGACTTGGAGACAATAGATATACGATATAAACATGTCTAAGTTCAAGAGTCAATACATTGATATCAGGCCTCTCTTAAATCAGTGCAGTTATTGACCTGCTCTTGGTTATTTGTCACAGGAAATTGCTTAAAGAGCACAAATATGTCTCATCAGGTTCATTTAGAAGTATTTGGCTTTGTCCAAGCTTTTCTAAATATTATACAGTAGTTAAAAGTACCAGATGGGTCTAACTGACCTAGGAGTGTTCAATAACCATACTTGGAGGCCTATGCTAATGGACAAGGAATTTAAAAGGACAATATTTTGTCTGTTGCCCTCCAAGGTCAACAAGGTCCTAGGGTACTTAGGGACAACTCTCAAAATATCCTGAAACTATGCCAAGTCTTGTTCAGTGAGGCCATGGAGACCTCACTAGGTGGATTCTAGTCAGTGTCTGGCCAACACAGAGGAGGGTCAACACACACAAGAAAAAATGTCTTCATTGTTGCCAAGTGAAGCCACAGTCATGAAAGGTCTTTGACTCACTCTCAGAAGATGAAACAACTGTGAAAAGGAAGGCTAGAGGAGCCAGAGATTCCTCCCAGGCCTGGGTGACCGACCCCTTGAGGTCCAGATCCTTACAGGGCTTGACAATCAAAAGAGAAAGTGGTTAATTTTGGCACCTGCATTGTGGTAGACACCCCAATAGGAAAGCATAACCAAAGGTTAAAATGATTCATATGTTTCTTTAATACCAAAGGATCACACTCAGGAGATGTTAGACTTAAATCAATATGAGATGTTATTTGGACAACTATTTCTCACTAATGACTTTCTTAACAAGAAAAATACTACCCAGATATATGACAGCAATGACCTTGGCTCAGTTTCAACACTGCAGCGCTTACCTGCAGCCAAAAGAGAATGGGCTCACTGTTGTTTCAGCATAAGAATCGGGCGGGTGGGGGGGCAGTGGAGACAAGCTCCCGGAGGTGAGGCTTGCACACCCACCTCCATTCCCCACCCAACCCAAGCCCATCCTAGCCCCAGCCAGTGTAGCCATGATCAAGTACAGCCTCATCTTCAACACCCAGAGGAAGCTGCGGCTTCCCAAGTTCTGCCAGCACTGTGGTGGAGTTATGCAACAGCAAATCATCAAGGAGACATCCCATTTGGTATCTGAGCGAGATGAAATATTTGTAATTTCCCAGGAGGACTACTAATTAGAGGATCTGACAACAAACTGGTTTATAGACATTATGCTACACTGTATTTTGTCTTCTGTGTGGACTACTCAGAAAGTGAACGTGGCATTTTAGATCTAATGCAAGTATTTGTGGGACTATTAGACAAATGTTTTGAAAATGTCTGTGAACTGGATTCAATATTCTGTGTGGATAAGGTTCACATTCTTCTTGCAGAATTGTTGATGGGGGAATGGGATTAGAGAGCAACACAAATGAGTTGCTAACACAAATTGATGCAGAAAATAAAGTGAAGCAATCTGAGGCTGGCTTAGCAGACACTACAGTCCTTGATGTATCAGCTGTAAAGAATATGAATCTTAGAGCTGAATATTACTCAGACATTTAAAAAATGACATCATGATATCTGTAAGCAAATGGATGGAACTAGAAGAAATCATCCTAAGTGAGGTAACCCAGACCCAGAAAGATAAATGTGGTATGTATTTGCTTAGATGTGGATATTAGCCATTAAATGAATGCTAACCAAGCCACAATCCATCAGTAGACCCAAAGAAGCTAGGTATAGAGGAAGGGACTGGGGGAACACATGAGACAGGGAAATAGAATAAATTTTATAGGTAGACTGGGTGTGGGAGGATGGGAACAGAAGGATTGGGTGGGGAGGGGAGCTGGAGTTGAGGGAGGGAATTCAGGGAAAGACAGCTAGAATTGAGGGGCATTTGCGGGAGTTGTATGGAATCTAATCTGGTTATTTTGGAGTTGCCTCTTCAGAATGGAGAATGTTAGAGTGCAATAAAGGCTCATTAAGAAAAAAATCTGGTGCCCTCAAGAGAATGGAACCTCTGGCCTGGGTGGAAACCTAACAGTCCGGTTGGGCGAGACCAATCACCTGGCCAAGGCACCACGCCTGAGAAACGGGATTCACCTTTGGCCAGGCTACAGAAATAGGTGGAGTAATTGTTCCTTTAATGAGACACTATACTTGTACTTCCTCGTCCTAGGCACGGTCAATACAAACCCAGCAGCCAGGAGGCGCAGCAGGCTCTGTCCACCGTTTGACTCAGAAAGGTACAGCTTTAACTTGCTGCTGCTGCTGTTGCTGCTGCTGCTGTTCTGTTTCTTTCTTCCAGATGCTTGCAAGTACCTAGAGGTGCTTTTCTGAGACTTTGGGCTTCCTTACCCTTTCTCTAAAGCCCCACTCTCTGTCAGGTCGCTGCTTATCTGCCATATGTCTGACCTCCATGCTGACTTACACAGCAAGGCTTTTTTTTTTTTTTTCCTCCCTGCTCCTGGTAGCTGCTGAGATCCACAGTTTGCCTGCCTTGGGGTGTTTTTCTTTTTAAACTCTAATAAAATTGTCTTTGAACTTCAAAAATAATGATAATTTCATGTTAGTGACATTAATTTACTTTTAGTTTGCTAGCTTTTTTTTTTAATGTGCTGATTAGGGAGCTGTTTACTCCAGAGAAAAAGGAATTATTGTGAGTCTTGAGTATCCCGGAACTGGGAAGATGGCACAAAGACACAGGTGAGATTCTTCCATCCCAGGGACACTGGAGATGGGAGGGAGTCTGGGGAGTGGGAATGCTACCCTCCTTCCCTCCTGCATCCTTGAGGATTAAAAGTGATGGAGTCCATGGTGTAACCTAACCCACTAAACAACCAAACTCAGGGGTTTGGTGCTGCTGGGATGTGCATTTATTTAGGAGTCATAAAGAAAGAACTTAATCTTCGAGGAACATCAGTCTTCTGTTGAGGGATGTATCTTCCTCACGTTTAGTCTTTACCACAGTGAACTTATCCACGAGGAGGAGAAATCAAGCT